TTTGACGATATTCATGTTATTAAGTGTTTTGGCGATGTCTTCAATTTATTGGAGCCTCTTGAGATACCCTACATTTTGTTTCACGGAAGAGAGGACATTGGTAAGTCAAGATCTTCAGATGATGTGATGCTGCAGGATTTTCTGGGTTTTCCTGCAGCTAAAAAAGCAACAAATCTCCTACTAATGCGCCATTGGAATCAATGAAGTCGCCCCGGAGGGCTAATTAATTTTTGTTGTTTCTAATTTCATGATTTGTATTACTTTCTTTTTGTGTCAGAAAAACAGGTTGATACAAAAAACAGTATAAAATATATTTTAGAGATACATACGAGTACTATATGCATTGTACTATTCACAGTACTTCAATATAATTATTATAGAAAGTGAACTGAGTCATGACTGGATTTTAACTCTCAAACAGTAGAAGTGTAGCTATAAAACCAAAACAAGATATTCTACAAAAACAGTAGCACTGGCTATACTGAACACGACGCTCCTTTCGTGTAATAACTTCTTCATCGGCAGTGTATTGAATCGAAATATTCCACAGTTTGCATTACGGCTTCATTGTGAAAGATTCGATCTTCTCGCGGCATCGTGAATAATACTGTGGTGGATATTGTTGACTTTGTTTCTACTATGACAAAACAACACTAGCGACCTGCCTCCGGTCCGCACGGGTGCAATTCTGATACTAAATATACATATAAACGCGTGCGATCGCGGTACCAGCGGTACCGCCGCAACCGCTATATCCCTGCATTTTGAATCTGTAATATCTTCAAAGATATTTATTTACATTACATACTATAAAGATAAAGAGCCATACTGATTATATTAAATGCACAATGTATTTAAGTAACTAAACAAATCATAAAATGTACATAGACTGTCACCAGCAACGGAACTGGTGATGTGCACACAATTATTATTCATAAATATTTAATATTACATTATCACCTGTGTGTAATTACGGTGTTACCAAAAATAATTATTATTATTACAAAATACAAATCAACGATTCACGTTTCTGAAAAAAGTTTTTTTGAGTTTTTAACAAACTGAAAACAATCGGAGAAATAATTATATGTTTCACACGGCGGAGAACCAGATTTACTGCCTTGGGTAATAATCATCGCTTGATCTACAATCTCCAATTCGGAAGATGAAATCTCAATTTTCAAACGATGATCTAGAGTGGGCATTTTCACAAATCAGCAGAAATAATTGATGAAAAGACTTTTTGACTTGATGTGATTTTTTTCATTTGAACTTCTTGAAGTTGGAGGTTATTTTTTTCGATGCCTGCGTATGAAGTGAAAATGAATGCAATCGCTTTATATACGTTATGAATACGAAATAATTAGATTCTTCTCCATATAGGAATGTTTTTATATACCTAAGTTTTGTCTTCTTACTTATCAAGTATACTGATCCTGTTCTTCCACTTTTTTATGATTTTAATGTAGAGTAAATAAAATTGTGAGTAAAATATAATGCTTCGAAGTTGGTAATCAGATACCTAATCTAAAATTCTAATATCCTAAAATTTTCGAAGTGTATTTCTTCAAATATAAGAAAATGAAATATGTGTGATAATAAAACGTTTCACTACTACTGATCATATTTGTCTCAGAACTAAGTTATAGTCTCGTTCCATGTACCTGTCTCTGGCAAGTACCTATTTATTCAGATATTATTATTATTTTATTGGTTATCCTGTTAGTTTCATGTCGGTTATTGTAACAAATTTTACAATAAAGAAAATGCAAGCAGAGCAATGTTTTCATATTAATTATTGCAACGTAAGGCGAGCAGAAATATTCGATTTGAACTCAGTTGCTCTACATTTGAGGCAGTTGTAGTCCGATCCTAAATAATTATGTATTCTACGACACTTTTGAAAATCGTCACTTTCGCAGGAGTAAGTATTCTTTTATTATTGATGTGTTAATGGTATTATCTCATTTTGACGCCACCTCTTTGAGAATTATCTGTTTTGAAACAAATAGTTCTCCCACTTTTGTCAGAAACTGAATGCAGTTGTTATATGAATACAAATGTAGTTTTGAACTCCTGCTGAACAGTGGAATATTTCAAAATACGATGGAAATTCTTGAATGCGTTCACTTTCACAAGTCAATTATTTCATAGAAATTCAATAGGTTCAGATTATTGAATTTTTCCCTTATATCAGATATTTTTAGAGCAGTTGTAATCTAAAGAACCTTCGTAGTAATATATGAATAGATATTGAACAATAATAATTTGTTGTGGAATATATTTAAGTTTTTTATAGAATGAATATTGTCAACTTCTTTCTAAGATCATAGTTTTTGTGTTTTTTTTGTAGAGTATAAAGATTATCCCAATAAATAATGAATATCTAAATCAAAACGTGAATTGGACTTCTGCTGAATATGAAATCGAAGCAGGCTGAATTTTATACCTACTAGAACTTTATTATCGTGGAAACAACATAGTTTGAGCAAATCCCAGAGGAGCATTTTTTTTAATTGGCGTCAAAGTATTACTGATAGAAAAAAACATGAATTCTGGGTAAAATATGTTAATAACTCTATGCGCCGCCTAGGCTCGAACAAGATAAACTGAGAAACTACCTCTGTTAAAATGCTTACTATCAAAATTCAAAAATTTAATAGGATCCAAGTTTCCATCAACATCGATTTCTGAAACGTATTCATTAATAATTCAAGATATTAATACAAAATTGACCATGACAGGGGTCAGTAATGAAACATACAGTGCATTCCATTTAAAACGAGCCACCCTGAATAACTTCTGGTACAATGATTTACAGGAAAAATAAAAAAACACATCAACCATAGTATACAAATTCACAATTGATGTTACTTCGCCTATCGCACCCCCAGAGCATGTCACCAATTTTTTTAAATGGATCAATTGTTTTGCATTATCAGATGTTCCATAATGAACATATTTTAACAAAGTAGAAAACATTATGGTGTGAAGCTCATAGTTTGGAAGCTAAAAATTATTTTAGTTGCAAACGAGCCACCCTGAATAAACTTCTGTACAATCTGTTACCTAGGTTCCATAGGTGTTTTGTGAAGTGTACTTCAAAAAAGTCTTATTATGCCTAGTTAACTTTAAATTCGATATTCTCTTCATTTTGTATTTGTCTCATTCTGCAATAACGATAACCTACCAGGTGAAGTTACATTTGGTGTTTCTGTTTTTGTGAATTCTTGAGAAGCAATGATTTATACGCTTCGGGAACGGATTGAAATAGTGAGTTTGTACTACCAGAATGGAAATAGTGCTAGAGCATCAGAATTTCTCGTATAAAATCTGTTTTTCGGATGAATGTACGTTTAGTTTGAATAAAGAGGTGATTCGGCACAATTGTCGATATTGGAGTGATACGAATCCTCGTTTATACCGTCAAGTTCATACCCAAGGACCTCAAAAACTGAATGTTAGGTGACCACATTAAAAGAACTTTTTTTTGTCGATAATAATTTCACTAGTGATAAATATTTGGATATGTTGGAGAATCGAATAATACCGTGCATCAATAGGGCAATTGAGAAGGATATACATTTATTCGAAAACGAAATAGTTTTTCAACAGGATGGTGCACCTCCTCATCATGCAGCTAGCTCCACAGCGACAATTTCGGACGATCATTTTCCTGGTCGCTGCATTGGCAGAAGAGGTTCTACGGAATGGCTACCAAGGTCTCCGGATTTCACTCCTGTAGATTTCTTTCTATGGGGTCATTCGAAGTCTAAAGTGTATGAGATAGAATCAACAACATTAAGAAATTTGAGAGAGAATATCATGAGGCATTGCAGAAAAATAATTCCCGAGATTCTCAACCATGTGAGGGCTGCTATGAACGGTCGTTTGTACCATTGTATGGAAGTTGGTGGAAACGTTTTTGAACATTAACTATAGAAATGTTTTTTCTTCTTTGTCCAGTCATCAGATTTTGATTCAAGAATTAATAATAAATCTCTTTTTCTGATTTATTGCTTCCATATTTGTCTCTAGAACGAATATTCCAAAATGTGGCCTCCTGAATAATTGTTGATTTATTTTTTTATTTTTTCCTGCAAATCATTGTTTAAAAAGTTATTCATGGTGGCTCGTTTTCAACTCAAATAATTTATAGCTCCGAACCATATAAGCTTCAGACCATATATTTTATACTTTGTTGAAATTTTTCATCATGGAGCATCTGATAATGCGAAACAATATGGGGTGATCCATTTAAAAAAAATTGGTGACACGCTATATGGGAATGTTATAGGGGAAGTAACATCAAATGTGAATATGTCAAAATGTGTCCCCCTGTATACTATTGTTGACTTGTTTTTTTAATTTTTCCTGGAAATCATTGTACCAAAAGTTATTCAGGGTGACTCGTTTCAAATGGAATGCATCCATAAAAAAAGATGGAAACTAACTCAAAAACAATTTTTTCTACCTTTGTTTGTTAGATTGAATTACTTGTTTAAAAAATAGTTATACTTCTACGAAAAAGAGCTTCTGATTTTTTTCAGAGGTCATGTGTGTGAATAATGAAGATTTTATGGTAGCTATGACTTCTACACAAAAAAACTCAATTCATTTTATTGTCCTATTGATAATTCCAGAGGTAATAAAAAATATGTTTTCAAAATTTGGCGTTGTATAAATAAAAACGCCACTTGTATTTTCTTGGACTTTCCAGGGGCGACGTTCTCCACAATAAAACTAAAATCTAGTGAAAAAATGTCATTAATAGATGGGGTCTTTAGCATGTAATAGTCTTGAATTGAGGCAGAAATTGTGACAGATAAGTCACAAAATTATTGATATTGAAATGAAAAAAAAAACGTAATAAATATTTTTTTCTGGGAATTGCTGCTCTTTTTTTAGTTTGATGAAAAAGACGCTCTGGTTTTGGAACAAGAATCCACAATTATACCTCTTCGCCGATAAGTATTGTTATCTACTGTGTTTATTTTCAGGTTTGCATTATGGTGAACTGCGATATAGCCACAAACTCCATCAAGAAAACATCGGATTTGTATAATCTGAAATCCGCGACAACCCCCTACCAGCTAATCGAAACGTTGAGAAAGCAAGTTCTTGCGAAAGAAGATGAACTAGTGAAAGCCGAACAGATCAACCAGAGTTTTGAGAGAATGATTCAACTGGTGAATATTTTAGGTCAAGTCGATTCGTTTTTGACCGATCGAACTAAGACGATGATTAAAAAAATCGCCATGCTCGCAGATGCTGATGACGGAAAATATGAACAAGAATATTTCGGTCATAAAAATAATCTGAAAAAGAAATGAAAATTTGCAATGTAATGAATTTTATACTTTTCGTACAATAAAAACGTTTTTATAAAGTTTTGACCACCCTATTTATTTGAATAACATATGCCTATAGGTTTATCAAACAAAAACATCTGATTGGAGATACTTAAATGCAAGAAGTTTCAGTAATAAGAAATGAAATGACGCGAACAATTCCATAAAAGCAATGACAATTCCCTAAATTCGTGTCCTCATATCGACACACAATGTAATAAAATACCCCGAATACCTCATAAGTCATGATCCCTGTAAACCAAACCACTAATATTTTCGCGAATTTTTCCATTTCATTATATGTTTCTCAATATTATACAGGATGTTCAAAAATCATTGTCACTATTTTATATGGGGACGGTTGATACATATATTTATGTTAATTTTTTGTAGATCCCGAGAGTTTGGATGAGGAAGATTTCCAGAGGTAAAATTGACATCTTCCTATAAAATCTTTCAACATTCAAGCCGGCTCTCGCAAAACGGGAATTTACCCACATAACCGGAATCTGTTTACTGAGATCGATTATGCGACCCCATTTGTAACAAGACAGCTTTGATGAAATGAATAACACTTCTGTCTAATTACCACAAGTTAACTAGTGGTAATTAAACATCTTTCAGAACAATTCTATTCAGTGTCCCTGAAGCTGTTCCTGAAATTTATCTGTTTCAAAATGCTAAAATGATTTGCAAAAAAATATACAGAACAAGGAGTTGCTCAATAAATTAACACGGCTTATTTACCAAATGAACTGTATAAAAGGAAATGCCAAACAGTTTGTCACTGAATGAATATAATAAAAAGAAAATTTGAACCTATTGCTTCTTTCTTCGTAAATATAACTAACATTTAAGCACAACAGAAACTCTTCTTTCAAAATTTGAGCAGAACAGGTGAAAATATAGAATCGTTATATTCATTCAGTAAAGACATTTTTCTAACAAATGAATTGCTATTCCCTAATCAGCTGGTCTCTTTTCACTGTGTTTCTTCGTGTATTCTTCTGCATTTTTTGCAAATTTCTTCTTATCTTTCAAGTATTCTTCAGCTAAATCTCCTCTCAGAGGATGTTCTGGTTCGGGCTCATTTACAAGGGCAACCAGGGCTTGAATCACTATAAATAAAAATAATGATAATGTATAATTCAATCTAGAAGAAAAATAAAGAAACTTTAAGCCAAAGCAGACAACATTGTGACAAATGACTTCATTATAAAATAATTTTATGTAGAAAATACATACATTTATTTGATTTTAATTCAGGAGAATCATCGAATAGACCCATGAATAGCCATAAATAAAGCTTGGATTGGATTAGGTTCAGAGTATGTGGGTCTATTGAACCCTCAATTGCAACCAGTTAATTTTGGATAACGCCAAATATATCCCGCTTTTTAACGAAGCCGATTAATTTGTTTTGCGAATGATCTTTCAGGTTCGATGGTGGAAATGAAACTCTGCTAAACATTGAAAACCTAATTTGGCCCAACCGATACATATCAAAAGGTTATTTTGAAAAATAATTGTTCAACAATATAATTTATATTCCTTTTCAATCATTCTGTTTATTTAAAATAATGGTTTTTCATACATTTCAGTGTTTTTCAATCTAATTAAATATGTTTGAAAATTCAATAAAATTAGAAATATTTCAAGAGTTTAGGTGTTTTCGAGATTAAAGAATTCATGGACTATAATTGATTATGATGTATGATGGAATTAGCCGATACTTGATGAAAATAAAATAAAATAGACTATATGTTTTTCTGGCTAGTTGAAAGAGTCAAAAATTATGTGAAAGGAGACCAAATTACAGAATGACTCTATCCTCTAGTTTCTTGAAGGATCCCTTCTTCTTACAAAAAACAGCTAAAATAATGAAATTTATGACCATCTAGTTGAACGAGTCAAAAATTATGTGAAAGGAGACCAAATTACAGAATGACTCTAGTCTCTAGTTTCTTGAAGGATCCCTTCTTCTTACAAAAAACAGCTAAAATAATGAAATTTATGACCATCTGCAAATACATAAGAACATGAAACAAGATAAAATCAGATTGGGGAAGGACATTCTATTAATATGCTAATCTTTCATACCGTCGGCATATCTAGTAATCAGGTCATTTCAACAAATTAGTTAATTGAGGTCATTTATATTAGTAAAAATGGAATATAAATTGGTTTGAACTTCATAACTTAACTTCTAAAAACTGACAGTTTAGACTTTTCAGGTTATGATTTTCATTCCTACTGTCTGGTTTAAATTTCTCTTACTCACAACCAGTAGAATTAGTAAGACAATTCAATTCTCTCAGATTGTGCCAAAAATCATTCAAGAATATAGTCATTTTGCTACCTTAAACTTCAGAATCGTTATTATCTGAAGTCTGAAACTCTAGTCAGGATATTCGTTTCTTGTTTGGCAAATACTAAAGCGCCGTCACTGACAGGTTCTGATCCAATGAAACCACTTGCAGCACCCCTTCTTACAAGGGAGTCAGTAGCTTCATTATCTTCCAGCCCAATCTGAACCAGACCAGAGACAATCTGATAGGTCATTCTATTGAGGGGGTTTTTTTGGCAGTTCAGTACCAACCAGGGGATTGCTCGGTGAGAGACAATTGCTTACAAAGCAACTCGGCTATCCGAGAGTATTTTTACGAATTTATGTACGAGGTTGGTTTCCGCCAAAGTTTCCACACCTATATCAATAGTGTAAATTTCTGCAAAAAATGTGGTTACTCAGTACCCTGTCCTGATGGAAGACTGTAGACAACTGCCAGAACCTGAAGGTGTTTTTGTGAACCAACAAAATCTGGATATTTTGATCTTTTGAAAAAAATGTGATAAATTATACCCAGAAAAAATGGAACCCTTTTGACGCAGAAATTGCTACACAATCCAGTAAGTGAACTGATAAGTTATCAATAAAAAAGATTTATCAACTCTCAAAGTGGTTTTCTAATTATTGTGAAAAATATGATGATGTGTTCATGAGCTAATTTTATGAAAAACAGTTTATATAAATCTTGGTATGGAAATTCATTGTTTCCAAGATACAAGGTTATTAATTCTTCTGAAAAAATTCTTTTATGTATCAATATTATAAATATCCCTTACTCAATTCTGGTGAAATTTGACAGTGTTATTGAGAATATTAGACTCATTTTCTTTTACAGTATTTCCAGAAAATAGGTTCTGCTTTCACCATGTGCACCATGGATAGTCACCCAAATATCGAATTCAAATGAGAAGTAAAAAATTGGCGGAATTTGAAATTACTGAAAATTTTGACATTGTTTTGGCAGCTTAACAGAAAAACTGGCAGAACCCAGTGATTTGAAATAAAAACAAATGTGAAAATTAGGCGATACGGGAGAATGGGAGCCTAAAATTTTTCATATACAGTAGAATCTCACTAATCTGGAATTATTAAAAACCAGGGGGTATTGGATTATTGGAATGTTCGGATTATTTATTTATAAAAATATGGAGCAAACAATATATGTACTTTACTCTAATCTACTGAACTCTACAAATTAAAAAGATTATTAATTCTTTCAGGGATTTCAAATCATTTTATATCATATTAGAAAATGGAAGTCCGAAATAATGAAATGTACTATGAAAGATTATCAACCACCTTCAAACAGGGTATCCACTGATTGTATGAGCTTACAATGTTTATTTTCTTAGTATTCCTTTTGAATGGAGATGAATCAAATAGGTCATTATAACCCTGATAAATATTAGCAGTTTTTTGAAGTCTAGTCATAGATTCATTGCACCAGTAGTTTGTTGAATGGAATAGCACGTTAAACAATTCAGAATTATGTGTTCTTCTATCATCTACATTCAGACTTATAAGTTCTATTGTCTGTTGACAGCCAGTCCATTAAGTTTGTAAAAGAAGTTCAAGTCTACGACATTCAAGAGACCCATATTTGATAGTAATACATTATATTCACAATTAGTACTTGTGACACCTATTTTGAAGACAGCATTACTCAGGAATTTTTTCTGAACTTTTTTTATTGCATCTATATCGTTTTTATATCAGAGGTACTATATAATTAAGTTATATTCTAAGTTAGAGCGAACAATTGAGCAGTATAATAATTTTAATACTTCTGGCAAAAAGTTACTTAATAATCTTAATGTAAACCCTAATATTTTGAAAGCTTCAGAATGCTAGTCTATAATACACCCAAGTCCTTAATGGTTTCTTTGGATGCTAGGCTTTCATTGTTTATCCTGCAATCGAACTCGATTGGGCTACAACTTCTTGGTAATTTAATTCGTTTGGAAGATTTTTTTTGCTTTTGAATTCAGTAAATTTATGTCGCACCATCTTACAAGGTGGTTCAGGTCATCTTGTAGTTCAGCTTCTTCATTGTTAGCCACATTCCTAAATAATTTGATGTCATCGGCGAATGTCAGAAATTTACTGTCCTGTATTACTTCTTTGATATCATTTGACATGTTGAATAGAATTGGGTCAAAATGTGAACCTTGTGGAATACCTGAATGAACCATCATCAGTGGGAAGACTGAACCAGAACACCTGACACTCTGAAACCTATTAGATAGGTAACTTTCAATCCAGGTGAGGGCAGTACAGTCAATTCCAAGTGACGTAAACAAAAATTATGTTTAAAATATGTTTTTTTGTTAACCAGCTGTCGCACCTCTACGAACAACAACCCTCAGAAGTCGAAACCTGTGCAAGCTAGGGACCAACGAGGTCTTACCTTTTAACGTGTGATTCCTAACACGGAATCACGTTAATTTAGATATCAATAGAGTGTGGTTAACACGATCGAAAGCTTTTGTGAAATGAGTACAGATGGAGTCACATCCACATCCACTTTATCGCCATATTTGAAAATGGAGTATAGAAAACTGTTTCCAGAAATCTGGAAATATACCTGTTTTGAGTGATACAATTAAAAACTATGAGTAAGGCATTAGCTAATGTGAATGTGCATTCTTTCAATAAATACAGTGGTATTCCACCTGGTCTGGTTGACAAGGTAAATGGTGCAGACATGACTGAGGTAATAATATCCTCAATGCTAACCAAATAATGGGATATTTCTATACTATTTTTCAGATACTTGTAATTTGGGATTTGAGCAGCTTGATCATTACTATAAACTGTTGAAAAATATTCTGCAAAGAGATTTACAATATTGCAGGTGCCATTTGCTGTTGAGTTTTCATAATGAATAGCTGAGGGTAATCTGTATGAGTTTTTGCTTCTTTTGATATATTTTCAAAAATTAGAAGTATCTGCTTGTTTGCTATTCTCTGTTTGTGCTAAATAATTATTGAAACACTCGTACTGCTTGTATATTTATTTTTTGTTGATAATACATTTTTTGAAATTTGTACTAAACCACTGCGGAGAGTTAGACATTTTGAAGGATCTCAGTGGAATGAACAATTCGATTCCTTCGTAGATTATATTATAAAACTGAGATACTGCCACATTTACATAATATTTATCTAAAGATGAATTCCAATCGAATTGGAATTGGATTACTGGAATATAAATGAAATGGTGTCTTGTGTTTCCGTTTTACGAAACAACAGGTAAATTCATACGCAAGTGATAAGTTTTGAGGTTAGACTGCTAGACAACGTGGAAAGTAGCGCATAGGGGCGAGCGGAGGCTGCCGGATTATTGAATGTATCGGTCTATTGAAGTACCAGATTAGTGAGATTCTACTGTATTTTTATTCTATATTCGTGTGTCATGTGCAAACACAATGGTGTAAGAAGTCAATAAATTTCTTTCCATTTCTCACACTTGAATATTTCCAAAAAAACAATTCTGCTTCTACCATATGTGCCTGAGGTAGTCACTGAAATATTCACTTGACTCAAGGGGTAAAAAATGCAGAGGTGTATTTTATAATCGTTCACATGCATTTTTCGTATCAATTCATCTGAGAAAGCTTTACAGTTTGATATGATTTTTCATGAACTTTTAGTAAATATTTTCTTTAGAGCTAAATATACATGATAGCTCCAAAAAAAAACAAATGGGCAAGTTATTCGAAGTATAATAAATTACCTTGGTCAGTTTTAGTAGCGGGTTTCCAATTCTCAGCACTGATTATAGGTAGACAAACTTGACCTTTCTCATCTATATTTGGATGATAGATCTTCGTCTTGAAATTTATTTTGGGAGGTTTAAATGGGTATTCGGCAGGAAAATTAATTTCTATTTTAAAAGCTCCTTTGTTATATGGTGGATTGTCCTAAAATAAAAAATAAAAGAGAAATAAAAAAACTGAATTTGATGTGATAATAAAGTTTTGTAAAGTAAACTGTTTTTATTCCAGTCTGATATAGTCCCATTTATACTTGAGTATTCGTTGAGTAATGACCAAGCATTTTCAAACAAAACCTTAATTCATCTATAAGTTGAAACCAAAAGTCTGTATTTACTAAGGCAGGACTTGAATAGACTTTCGAACAGACAGAAACATGAAGTGAAAAAATAAGTTCAGTATCCGCGGAGGTAGTAATTAAGGCTGATTATGACTATTCCTACTGCCTTCTTCCTAAGCAAATATAAGACAGTGAGAGAGACAGTATTCTTGGTTTCTTCATTCATTATCTACATATATATGACAACATGAAGATTCCTGATAATTACAAATACAAAAACCAATTAGTTTACATGTGATAGTAGTTATACAGTCAGTGAATAAACGCCAAATGAAGAATATCGAGTGTCAATATAAATCTAATAGATAATTTTATTGGAAAAACCATCGGCAGTATTGTACAGCCAAGTGCGAAATTGGAAAGATGAATGAAAAGGTATGTCTTAATTACTAATAATCAAGTTTAGTTATCAGGAATTGTTGCATAATTCCATCATTACAACCCATTCGTAAAAAATGAAATGCCAGATTAACACTCTTTCATTTATGAATGCCACTCAACAAAGACAACAACATATCCATAAAGTAAAAAAAGATATTATGTTCGATCTCAGGCAAAATTATTCCCACAGAATCCATATTTTACAACTGACAAGAATTCTGTGACCGATTCTGACTATGGTTAGTTTACTCAGTTTTTCAATCACAGCTTTTATTATTATCAACGTGGGTAAAATTGAAAAAATCCTCAAAATTTTCTTGCGGTGTGCTACAGTTCAAGCATCACTAAGAGCAATCAATGAAATGAACACTGGTCGTTTTGCATTAATGATTGCATCAATGGTTACATCAACATACATTTAACATTACTTCAAGTAATTTAAGGAACCAGCTTTACTTTACAGATAAGGTAGGTATATCAATTCGGCATTTCTGCACTTACCGGAACTATAAGACCTTGCCATGTCAAAATATTGGTTTCATCAACTTGAATATCACGAAAGGACTTCAACCCTGAGTTTCTAATATCCCCTAGTTCCTGTGGGTAATAAAAATCAAACTATTATTTTCAGCAAAAGACCATCCTAGTAATATGTTTGAAATGAGATTCAAATAAATAATGAACTGACGGAAACGTACAACAAACTATTTAAGAATGCAATAAAGAATGATTCATAAAAATACCCACTTTTTGTAACCTTCTTGTGGCTGCCATTTTGTTGAATTTTTGGCAACTCACAAAAACGAATAAATATCTTATGTACAAACTTATAACGAATTAAATGAGTACAAAGAATAAGTAACCAATGATTTCAAAATAAAAATGTATAACTATTTTTTAACAAACGTCTTTTCATCACTCTCAAATTTAACTCTGAAGAGTCGGAACAAAAAATTTCAACACACCAATGACGAGTGACAAGACATTTGACATTTGACAAGAAGTCTTCTTTCAAAGATTAGTTACATTTTTCACTGCATTATGTGACATCCATCAGTCACTGATAAACAAATGATAAAATAATGTGGTAGGACACTCTAAAATAGAGAGATATTCGTTATTTCAACTTCAAATTTACCTGTACGTGGAATGTCATTGTACTTTAAACTTCATTTGTAGCCTTGAAAACCCGCTATTTTAGACTAACATTCATATATAGTTGAAACTTCTTGAACTATAGTACCCCACCACTCTTAACCGCAGTGTTATTGCTATACTGTCTTGTTAACTTTTGAACGAAAGAAGATATCAAAGTCGGACAAAATTTGTATTACAAAGCATCATTTTCAGTACTCGTTGATAAAAAATCCAATAGTGTAATATCACTCACCGCAGAGAGGGCGCTATCAACTTATTTTTTCGAAAAGAAAAGGCGATGTTGTGACCCTTCGTTCAAATCTTGTTACTCTGAATTCGGAAAGTACTTAAATTGTCTATACAGCGATCCTTATTGTTTTGAAATTGGATAACCTGCGGCGAAGTTATTGGTGTATGAGTTGGAGACTACTTAAAAATGATAATTAGTAACCAGAAATAGGATTGAAACCCCAAAGTTAGCTATCACAGATTGTACAAATTAAAATTGAAACAAAGTATTTGACAAAAAAGCACATTTTTGTTTTTACTCCGATGTAGGTTCTTTTTGTGATGTAGATACAAACCACACCGTCTGTGACACCGTGTTACCCTGTGTCCTCACATATAGTGAGTATTGTGTTAGCTTGACAGATGTCACTAATCAGAATATAGAACACTAATATAGAAATGATTATGGATATTCTGATTCATAATACCCAAAATTTATTTGTATTTTTATTAATACCAAAATTATCGGCTTAGTGTTCTTAAAGCTCTTTTGGCATTAACTATTTGAGTAAATTTCAGTAAATAGGGTATCATTAGAGAATAATGTGCCTTTTCACATGATATTTCACTGGCTCCCACTCTTCCTTTAAAATTTTAGAGTTGTGACAACCCCTTGCTACAGGGTTAATGGCACAGGTATTTTGTAGAGACATAGTTGATTATACATAATAGTTACTCAGTCAAATCATTTGTATTTTTATTCCTTTTCACTGTGCCAACATTGAATCACAAAATAAATCTTCATGTTTTGAAGCTTACAAAATTCATAAGCCTACATGTATTCGTAACATAAACAAGAAAAAAAACATTGTGAAAAAATAAACGTTCAAATAGGGCCTCACATATCTTATACCACACAGGGCCTCGCAACATCTGGTACCGCCACTGCCTATGATTGTTTTTTGAATGCCTATCTAAAAAAATTGCCATATAGCCTATTCTATGCTTCAAGCTTTCAAGACATCTATGTCTGCGGATGTCCGCAATATCATTTACAGGATACAGGCACTGAAAATAAAATCCAGTGGATCATTTGCCCTAAAATCGCGAATAAACTTCAAAATTTCAATGAATTCAAAAGGGGACAAAAAGGTGTTATTAAACGTTTCTAAGCACTAACAAAATACTAATAAAACCAATCGGAAGTCGAAAACATTAAAGACGATCGAGTCCGATTAGTTCTTATAACATTCGATCTGATTTCACCTATTTTTGTGTAGTCGCTGGGATCGTATACAAACAAACAACTCGCTGGTATTTTGACCACATGAAAAATAATGGAAAGGTATCTTTATATTTTCCTCTGATCAGCTTATTCACAACCATATTCAGTTTCATTCACAGATTACAGACATATTTCAGTGTTTTGTGGCATCATATACTTGGAAGAGAATTTAGAGAAGACGAAGAAATTTTAAAATGTTTTTTGTGACGTCAAGTCGAAATTGAATATTTATTGAATCTTCGAATATTTAAAGGATGACACTTCAACTAATATATTGAAATCGGAAGTGGTTATAGTGTATTATTAATTGTATGATTGTATAGTCAAAAGTAGTCAATTGGCAATTAATGCCGCGCATTAACTACTCATTCAATTTCGAAAAAATGGAAGATATGAGTGACATTTCAGGGGATGTGACTGTGGTGGACGTTTATGATATTGCTTCAGATATTGGAAAAGAATGTGAAAAAATTATAGACATATTCGGAGCTGATGCGGTAACTTCTCTAATGCCGAAAGTTATAAACGCTCTCGAATTACTTGAAAACTTAGCTACAAAGAATGAAAGGGAAAATTCCTTGCTACATGAACTTCAAGCCAAAATATCTCAATTGGAAAATGATAAACTGGAGAAAGCTGAGTACAGAAAAAAATTTGAGAGGGTTAGTCATATAATTTTTTAACAATTACATGTACTTATTACAGTACATTTCAATAAATATATCCACTTCTTTTTATCAGATTATAATAGTCGCCCTATATTTTATGATACTGATAAATGAATAATTATTTAATATATGTACAATTATGCATAAAATGTACAAATAGGTAGAATGCTTGGTCATAAATATGACACCTTTCTTGAATAAATCATTTCCTGATCTACAAACAAAGAAAGGTTCTAGGTTAGGCTACAATTTTCATAATTATCTCGTTTTGCTAATAAAGAGTATTAATAATAATAATAATTTATCTTTGTTATTAGAGGAGTTTTCTGGACAATTGAAAGCTTTAGCCTAGCACAAGTGATGAGAGCTTGGCAGGTCGAAACAGCGCAGTCTGGTCTTGGATGTTGAAAATAAAATTAATGTTTTTTTCGTTAATCAGTTGTTGTACCCCTACGAATGACAACCCTCAGAAGTCGAAACTTGTGCGAGCTAAGGACTAACGAGGTCTTACCTTTTAACGTGTGATTCCTAACACAAGTTGGACGATAATAAGTGAAAATTAATCGTTCAGCCTGCGACTTAAACCACCGACTCACACAGCGGTCGATTGAATGAGTGAACAAAGCACGTCGAATCGACCGGTTACCGACCTACTGAAAAGTTATAATAATAATAATAAATGTCATTTATTGGTGAATACCAAAGGGCCATCGATGGAAGGCCTTCAGCCAGTGTACAATTTTTAAATATTTGCAATTTTTACATATGCTTACATAATAGATTTGAGGTACATTATATTTCTGACAAAAGAAAATTAATTATGAGGGTGATTTGATGTTTTCCAAAATAGTTTTTTCTGGGTATTTGAATTTGGATGGTTGTCCTTCAGCTCTTTCCCTACGTAATGCCTGTAGGGTCGCCAAGTTAGTTTCATTTTTGGCAAAGGGGTTTCTTAGGTTTGATAGTCTCTCCTTTACAGGTTTCACTTTTGTAGTTCTATAAAGCAGTGAGTTTGAGAGATTGTGTGGTATGTTCTGAGGGTGACGCATTTTGGTAATACTCCTTAGTGTAGATGTTTAAGCTGTTTGGATATTATTTAATGCAGGATTACAAGAACTTGAATAAATTACATGTGCATATTCGAGAAGTGGAGGACAGATCATTTTATAAATTTTAGTTGCAGTTTTAATGTTGATTCCACTTTTATGTTAGACTCCGAAAGTGTTTTCCTCTATTGATGCATCTCTTTTCAATCATTTTTGTATGGCTGTTCAAGTTGATTTTGTGGTCAATGTTAAGTCCCAAGTATTTTACTGATTGCCTGCTTCTTACCATTTCGTTGTTGATGTTTATTGTGGGTAACGTCTCGGAAGGGTTGTGATGAAAAATTATGAATTGTGATTTTTTCGGGTTTGGTCTCAATCTCCACTTATTGAACCAGAGCGTTATCCTGTCGACGTGATTTTGCAGTTCTTTTATTGTGAGTGCTAGCGTGCGGTTGTGTGAAACTAAGGCAGTGTCATCTGCATACTGTAAGATGTAAAGGTTTTCATTAAATTAATTCTTGTGTTCCAAGTTGTGATTGTATATATCCGTTAATCCGTTATCTCCATGAGAATTGGAGATAACGGAGAGCCTTGTGGAACTCCTTGTTGGGGAGCAAATTTTTTGGAGAATGAATTTCTGACTCTGACGGTTCTCAAAATATTGTTTTATTATACAGAGAAGATGGATAGAGATGATCAATTCGTGAAGTTTATTTAACATTCCTTCATACCAAACGCTATCAAAAGCTTTATTGATATCCAAAAGTAGTGCCGCAGAGTGTAGGTTGGTGATGCATGCTGTTTGTACGTTAGATGTTGCAATTACTGTAGGGTGGATTGTATTTCTACTTTCTCTAAAACGAAATTGATACATTGGTATATTAATATGTTCACTGAGTTGATATTTGATGGTTTTCTCAAAGTTTTTTCCTAACACTGAAAGAAGAGTAATGGGTCTGTAATTGCAGATTTGTGAATGGTCTGTATTGGGCTTTGGAATGACAATTATTAATCCTTCTTTCCAGGCTGTAGGATAGTAATGATTGTTCAAACAATATTCATAGATAGAGATGATATGTTTGTGTATGTCTGATTCTAGGGCTTGTACTATTCTCCTAGATATATTGTCTATTCCTGGGGCTGTATTTTTTTCCCTCACTGATGATGTTATAATATAAATCTTCATCTATTTCTTGATCATTTGGAATTGGGATGTTTTTGAAAATGTTTCTGTACCAATTATTGACAGACTCATATTGATTTTGATCAAAGTGAACATAATTTTCTTGAAAAGTTATGATTTCTACTGCAGAAACTACCCTTTTGCGGAAAAACAATGTTTTCATTAGAATACAGTGAATATCCTTTTTGTAACAATAAAACTTATTTGTGAAGTTGAAGTTTTTCAAGAACAACTTTGTCAATTCTTTTCATAAAAACAATTTACATTAGTTTGTTTGAATATAGTGTGTAACAATTGTGAGCCAATCAACAAAACTTGAAGAAACATATTACTTTTTACAAAATTTATTGGATTTGATTTGTTTACTTTGTAGAAAAATATATTTCGACAAATTTCCTCGAGTAGATATTCATATCTCAATTACTTACGTTTTGAAAATTGTCATTGTATATGCATAAATTTTGAATCTGACCTTTCAATAAAACAAATTTTGTATAGACGGATTTTTTTTGACTTGGATGTTCAATTACCAATACTCATTAAGCAAAATGATAACCCATAAAAGTCACGGTCAAAATATGTGAGGTTCTAAATGTAGATAAATAAATTTCTGAAAACTATCAAAGAAATAAAAATTGCGTTGTTTTTTGATGCCAGCATTGAATTCCAGAGTAGTTAATACTAAATTATAGATAGACCAGTAAAGTAATTCTCGAATTTAAATCAGGTCAGCTGCTCACTGACAAATAAATATTAAAAGTGAAAAGACGCTTTATGTTCATTTATTGCCAGATTTTTCTAATAACATTTTGTCTCCAACACTCTTTTTATTGTATATCAATGATTTATTGGAAAAAAACAAGAATCCAATATATTGCTTTGCTTGATAGTCGGGAACATCGAAGAAAGGTTTAGGATTTGTCAAGTGTTCAAGTGCATCAACAGCCATAGAAAAAGCAAATTTAATAGCTGAACATCTTGCGTCCACTCCACAGTTGATTTTCTGGGAAAGGCATCACCCACTATTCCCACACCAGAGTTCACAATGCCGCAGACTACTTTTCGATGTCTGGTCTGGCGAATTTTGAAACAGCTCGATATCAACAAGACGTCTGGTCCTGATGAAGTGCCCGTCATCGTACTTGAAAAGTGCACAAATGGACTCACACCATTATTTTGCAGACTTTTCAACGTGTCTTACAAGGAAGATGTTTTTCCTTCTTGTTGGAAGATTGCTCGCGTTCAGCCTATTCCCAAAAAGGGCAAGAAAAATCTTTCATGGCATGGGGGTTTGCTGGCTAAACTTCGAGGCTATGGTTTTTCGGATCATTTCTGTGTATAACTCTCCAGCTTTCTAAAAAAACGTTCCCTGCAAATGGCCGTCGATGGATATCTCTCGAATACTTTCACTATCAACGCTGGTGTTTCCCAGGGATCTATATTGTCTCCAACACTCTTTTTATTGTATATCAATGATTTATTGGAAAAAAACAAGAATCCAATATATTGCTTTAGTGTCCGACCGAAAGTGGTTTTTACGACCGAAACCGAAAACGAATTTCGGCGACGGTCTCAGTTTCGGCCGAAACCGAAACTTCCTTACAAGGATTATATTTTGAGTCAGTCTCTATTTTTTAATATTTAAATCACAACGTTATGCAGTCTTCAACATTTTTACTTATTGATAATCAACATAACAAACCCTTGTTTAAGAAAAAATATTACTTGCACCTTAATAGTATGTTATGCAACGATCATGTAATGATGGTTATTAAGACACGAGCATTAACCGGGATACGAAACGAGCCGAAGGCGAGTTTTGTATGGTATATGCGAGTGTATTAATAACCATTACATGAGAGTTGCATACGCTATTTTTTCTAAACCCGATAAATAATGAAAAATATAAATATTATATTTGTTTTACTAGTAGGTTATTTCACTATCATTTCATTTCAGGTTTATTGTTGCTTAATATAATTGTTATCTTCAGCTATTCTTTTTTAATTATTCTTTTTTACTTGTTTCAGGGATTTCAAATCATTTTATATAGTAGACAATGGAAGTCCGAACTAGTGAAATTCATCACGAAACATTGTCAATCACCTTCAAACAAAGACGGATAGAAATTATTATCTATGATGTAGTGAAGATGTCATTAATCAGGTGACTTACAAGTGGTATAAAGTGCTTGAGAAGGGTACAGAGAGAGAATACATCTAATGTTATCATAATCGAAAAACTGGTATTCACCGTTAGTCCCGTTTGTCTAGACATTTCAGTTGACAACGCAATTTAACTTTTTCCTGATGATTTCCCAATGTGCGATCCTATGTATTGTACCCTATTATACTTTACCTACTATACAGTCTAGACTTTATCCATTGTTAATTCTGCCTGTTTCTCAGTTTCCGCTCAAGGGTCTAGTTTTTTAGACCAATCATGAGGTCATCAACGCTATAATGCACACGGCAAAGAACTCAAGAAAGATGATCGAGTGTTAGTTTTTAAATCAGGCAAAAACCGTTAGACTTAAGAAAAGCATGTAGATATAAAAAACTAAATGCGTATCTTATTGTAGAGCATTTCAATCTTGTCTACTTTTTGAACAGCCTTCATGCATTTATTTGCCTTAGGTTTTAATGTATTGCTGTTTTTGACAGTTGAAAACCCAAGTGGAAAGACTTACTAATACAAGCAGAGAATTAAGAAGAAAACATAAATCTATGCAGACGCAAGTCCGAACACTTTGTGATGAAAGAGCAGATTTTCTTGTGCAACTACAGGACCAACAGAGAGACATATCAGCATTAAGGCAGAGGTTGGGACTCGCTCAGAAGGAAAATGAGGATCTTGTGAAAGTAATGTTTTGTTTTGATTTATAGATTTTTGTTGATTGGAATATTATTTGATCATTTCAGTGCGATCTTACACTACCAAGTAACAAAGCTGTATATGATTTGGATGATCCAAACAGACCAAGATTCACAACACAAGAGCTCAAAGATATTTTACATGAACGTAATGAACTTAAAGCTAGAGTAAGTGATTTAGAAGATGAGCTAGAGATCTATCGACCTAAAAATAAAGCAGAAACGTAAGTTATCATTGAAAAAGAATAATCTTAGTGCTTTGATTTCTTTTCATTATTTTTTTATTTTAATAGCTTAAAAAATCTTCTTCCTTTAATGGACAAAATTGAAACAACCTGTGATAATTTAGTTAGACCACATAAGGCTCCTACGCCTAGTCCTCCACGTTCTGAAAGTCCGTAAGTTGGTTATTTTTTTTTTATTTAGTTTTTTAATCACTCTCTTAACTCAAAACAGTTTTTTTATTCATAAGTAACCATTTTTGTCATTGTGGTTTAAGCAAATGACGTTTTAAATTTTTCATAAAATGAGAAATACAAAGTTTTTTTTTCATAGTTATTCTCTGTTAGATTTATCATGGAGTATATGAAAGTGATGTTTTACTAAAAGAATAAAAAAATTAATTTCAAATCAATATTTAAATCTACATTGAGGATTTGTAGTTTACATTTTTCTTTCTAGACATGATTTATTTCAAATATGATACTCAAAAAAGGATGTGAACAGTCACTAGACCAGTGTTAATAACATCAATCTAATTGATACGCTTGCTATGCTTATATATTACTCTGTTCAAAATATAAAATGTGAATTTTCACTTACCTCAAAAAAATATGTATTCATCTATTTCTATTTTCAAAGTAGTCCTCCTCAGATACAATACACTTGTGCGTTTTTTCCGATCCATAAAGCAATTCTAATATGCACTTTTTGGTATGTCCTTGAGCTCTCTCAGCGATTCAGTTTGTATCTCCTCAATCGTCGCAAAACGCCGTCCTTTTATGAGTCTGTTCAATCTTGGGGACAGAAAAATGTCTCAGGGGGCCAAATCTGGTGAATATGGTATTGTTTTTGGCCAAAAAATCACGAACATGCAATGACGAGCAGGTGAAATTATCGTGACACAAAAGCCATGCATTATTTTCCACAATACAGGACGTTTTCTCCGTATTGCTTCTTGCAAGCGGCACATAACTTCAAGATAATACTCTTTATTGGTCATACGACCATGTAGCAAGAACTCCTGATGCACTACCCCATGATAACCAGAGAAAACAGTAAGCAAAACCTTGACATTTGATCGAACTTGGCGCGCTTTTTTTGGTCTTGGCTCCCCAGAGTTCATCTATTGGGACGATCGGATTTTGGTTTCGGTATCATAACCATATACTCATGATTCGTCACCAGTTATGACCCTTTTAAGGAAATCTGGATCGCCTTTGACTTCATTCAACAATTCTTGAGTGATGTTTATGCAACGACGGGTTTTTCAGCAATTTTGGAACAAACTTCAGTGTCACATGCTTCATGCCCAAAATTTTAGAAAAACTGCATAGCATGAGCCAACCGATATGCTTAGCAACTTCTCTAATAGTGATTTGACGATTCTTCATAACAATTTTTTTATTTTCTGCATAGCATGAGCCAACCGATATGCTTAGCAACTTCTCTAATAGTGATTCGACGATTCTCCATAACAATTTTTTTATTTTCTCAACATTTTCATCGGTTTTTGATGTACTGTGGCATAAGCTTGAGTGAAAATATTGTACCATTTGTAAATATAAAATATTTTTTAGTACTTTATTCTATTTTTTACACAGCATTTGATGCAAATTATTTGATCCACTCTTTTCGATAGCAGAAGATTGCCGATCACGCAAAACACATCTAGGTTAGGTTAGGTCTAAAGTGGGTGGGTCTATTCGAACCTCCACCGCAACCCATAAGGGTTTATTGTGGCTTACACCTATTCACACTGGGCCAAATAAACCCTGCTTCTTAACGAAGCCGATTAGTTTGTATGGTGAGTGGTCTTTCAGGTCAGATGGTAAGAGTACAGCTCTGCCGAGCGGGGCAGGCACAAAGTAAATGCTCTGCTGTTTTATCATTTTCCAAACAGAGGCGGCACACACTGTCTTCCGACAGTGTGTGCATATGACGATTCAAATGACAGTGACTTGTAAGAAGGTCTGTTAGACATCGTAGTTCATCCCTACTGTAGTCTAATATCTGTTTGGTATCAAGCTTCGAAGGGTGAATAAACGCCTTGGAGTCAGCCAATCCTGGAAGATTCTGGCAGAAGTCCATAAATCTTCTTGCCATCCAGGTGTTCAATTTGTGTTTGGAAAGCCCAAAGCGATGCTAATGACAGGTAAGCTGCGATGAAGCTGCTTGCAGCACCCTCCTTTGCAAGAGAGTCAGCAGCTTCGTTGTCTTCCACGCCAGTATGGCCAAGAATCCAGACCAGAGACAATCTGTTGAGTCTTCCTATCGAGGAGAGTCGTTTTTGTCAATTTGCTACCAATTTAGACATTGCTCGGTAAGAGCCAAGAGCTACCAACGCCGCTTGACTATCCGAGAATATTTTGATTGACTTGTGTGTGAGGTTGGATTTATCCAATCTCTCCGCACATAATTCAATAGCGTAAATTTCCGCTTGAAATACAGTCGTATAAACTCCTAGGCAGGTAGATATCTCTGTCCTGGGTCTGCGACTAAAAACACCTCCACCAGAACCGGAATGTGTTTTTGATCCATCTATGAACCAACAACTATCTGCTCTTCGTAGCTGCAGTTCGTTGTTGACAGTTGGAGGCATAAAGTCAGAGGTCATTTACAGAATGCTGTGACTTCCAGTGTCAACCAACAGTCTGTTGCACTCTGCATTANCCACAAATCCTTCGACATGTCCATAGAGACAGTCTGGCTTTGTGTAAAATTTTTTCCAAGTGAGCGTTCCAGGTGAGTCTTTTATCAAGTATAATGCCAAGATATTTCACCTCCGTTCCAAATGGAATGAACTCATCATTGAGGGAAAGTGGCATTATATCGTCCAATTTCCTCCTCTTGGGGATTAACACAGTTTTGCTGGGGTTGACAGACATCTGCTCCCTAAGGCACGAACTGTGAATAACGTCCAACACGCTTTGGAGGATATTACAACCTACCCTTCCCGACGTGGACCTTGCCAGGGTGACAAGGTCATCTGCATAAACTTGCAGATCAACTTTTCTTCTGTCGAGGGCATCAAGCAGACTATCCATCAGGAGCGACCACAGAAGGGGAGATAGTACCCCACCTTGAGTGCAGCCCCTGATGACCCTAAACCTAATGGCCTCGCCTTGAAGAGTCGTAGTTGTAGTTCTGTTTACTAGCACAGCATAGATCCAGCCAGTTATGGTCGATTCTATACCCTCCCTAGCCAGAGACAATCCTATAGACATAGATAGTGCATTGTCAAAAGTTCCTTCAATATCAAGAAATACAGCAACCGCAATCTCCTTGTTGTCAAGGGATTGGGAGATTTTCTCAACGAGGTTGTTTAATGCTAAATCTGTGATTTGCCGGTTTGATAAGCATACTGGTTGTTATTCAGGGGAGATGCATATAATGCTACCCTCCTCATGTGTCCGTCCAGTATCCCCTCAAGTCAAACCGATTTAGGGTGTGGTTCTCTCCGACCCACTTTAGGAATATATACCACCCTTGCTGCCAACCAACTGGGTGGTATATAGTTCCACGCCAGACTAGCTCTATACAATTATGTAACAAAATAAAAAAATGAAAAAATCGCCAATCGAATGTACTTAGCCCGCGAAATTTAAACATTCACCACATTGGAACAGTCAGTGTATAGGAGTAACTTCTGAAAATATTGAGATCCTTGATTTTTTTTTACCTAATTAGGTAAATGGTGTGTACATTTTCTTGGAAGTATATTGCAATGTACCACATTAGAGAGATCATGTATATTTTCAGCATTAAACTCTTATAAAGGCTCAGCTTGGATATCATACAGTGTGAACCAAAAATTTTCTCATCGTAGCAACACATAATATCATTTTATCACTATCCCATTATCATTTTACCATAATATCGAGGACTGGATCCTCCGGGAGAAGGACATATTAAGAGCAGATAGTTGTTGGTTCACAGATGGATCAAAAACACCTTCAGGTTCAGTCGCATATCCAGGGCCGAGATATCAACCTGCCTAGGAACCTATGCGAGTGTATTTCAAGCGGAAATTTGCGCTTTTGAATTGTGTGCGAAGAGATTGAAAGAATCCAACATCATACATAATTCAATAAAAATATTCTCTGACAGTCAAGCGACGTTGAAAGATCTTGGCTCCTAACGAGCAACGTCTAAATTGGTAGTAAATTGCCAAAAACGACTCTCCTCGATAGAAGACTCAACAGAATCTTCCAGGATTGTCTCACTCCAAGGCGTTTATTCACCCTTCGAAGCTTGATACCAAACAGTTGTTGGACAACAGTAGGGATGAACTATGATGTCTAACAGGCCTTCTTACAAGTCACTATCATTTGAATCATCAAATATAGAGACTTAGACTGTTGGAAGACAGTGTGTGTCGCTTCTGTTTGGAAAATGACGAAACAGCAGAGCACATACTTTGTGCCTGCCCTGCTGTGGACCGAATCAGGTCTCTGCTGGGGACCTGATTCGGTCCACAGCAGGGCAGGCACAAAGGCAGAATCAGGGGAAATGGCTATAATGACTTCCTGAAAACTCAAAACCTCCTGAGTTTTTTTGTATTCACCATTTTCCGAAGAGTTCTAACATTACATCCATCACCAGGCCAGTACCTCTTATGAGATCTAAGGCAGATTGAAACCGCACTTTCTTTCATGGGATCATCAATGCAATTCTTTTGGATTCCGGTATCATTTTATTGCCTACTTACGGTGCAGAAAGAGACAGCAAGATAAAGCAAATATTGAATAAATTACAGTTTTTAATTCCCCATGTCTCTATGTTTGACAACCCACATCATAACTTGAGATACAATGAAAAATTCTCATAAATTCATTTTTACTGAGAGCAAAAATCACAGAGTTCAAGAAAGTTTAGGTAGATTTACAGCACTTAAAGGACATTTTGTAGGAGCTACTCACTGTCACCACTCACTGCCACACAATATCTTTCTTTATGAAAGTTGTGATTTACAATCATAATAAATGACCAGGCGGCTACCGTAAATTATTTATAATAATTACCAGCTTATAAAATAAATAACGGTTTTAATAGGAAGTATGCAAAAACCCTCAACATTTCGGAGAGACATTGAAATTAAATTGGTATTCCTTATGTTGGTAATCCATTCTGCATTCTAACGCTATGTTGGTAGCCTGTTTTTCAATAATACCAACTTTCAGCCCACATGGTTTTTTTAAAACATAAACAATGGTAATGACAATGTTAACAGATTAGAAAGATGATATTGCAGTCGCATTATTTAATATAAAAGATAACTTGTTATGTTGTGTCCAAAAATGCCCCGCTATTCTCTATCCTCCCTCAGTATTCCCCAGCGCTCCCAATTGACTTCAAATAGTCTTGAAGCCAGACACCACTGAAAGACTAAAAGAAAGCATGTTGTTTGAAATCTTTTCACCTAATTACCAGTTTTTTGAATATCAACTTATAAATTTTATTTCATATTAATTTTTTTGTTACTTTTTACTAACTTTTAGAATATTTTTTCCCAATATTTCAATACTTCATTCATTTATCCTTTCTTGTGTTTGTCTGTTATTACTTTTTTGACAAAGTTCCAACCTCAAACATTCAATAAAAAAAACGTGGTGAACCACTTTCAAATATAACTCTCTGTCCAAGATAAGGAGGAAACCATGAGAACGACAAAAATTGATTTAAATGGAAAGAAGTTACCATTTTAAAGCTTATTAGAATGATTTTTTTGAATTCAGGAATTTTTTATTGGTTTCGGAGATATAATTTTTGAGATACTAAATAGTAAAACCACTTTCTCATTGCTGCTTTTCATGGTGTGTCTACAGATTTTTAATGAGACGTTTGATCTCCGAGAAGAAATTACCAATAATAAAACAAAGTTTCAAAGCTTTTTTTGAATAAGTTCTAAAATTTGGCAACTTTTGCCTATTTTACAAATTAAAATGATTTTCTATACTGGCACTCCTTATCTTAGACACATTATATATTTATCACATCAGTAAAGTATCCAGAGTTATTGATTGATTGATTGATAGGTTTATTGTTTGAGAATAAAATTTTTGTTACAAACACAATGTCATAAATAAATATCAATATAAACTTGAAGTATACCTGTATAAAATATAAATGATTAAAATAAAATATAAACTAAATATTTTCATGTAAATAAATTCCCAAAAATTTCAAAGTGGAGTCATTCTTTATTGTGTTATTGTCTAGGGGGATATCAGGTATATTACACTTGAATGCTAATATATTTATTTTGCTGGTATTCAAAGTTAGAAAATTCGAGTCAAACCAATTCTTCACTTTTTTCATGTCATGGCACATTTTGTTATGCAATCTGTTTTTGTCCTTGTCATGCCACACTAATGTGGTGTTGTCAGCAAATAAGGTAAAGCTTCCTGTAATCGATATGTTGGTCAAATCGTTAGTGTATAACAGAAACAGTATAGGACCTAACACAGAGCCTTGAGGTACTTCACAATTTATCTCTCCCACGTCCGAGGTAGATGACGTTCTTACAATTTGTTTTCTGTCAGAAAGGTATGAACTAATCCAAATATGACTGTTATCCCTAAAACCATATCTTATGATTTTCCGAAGCAATCTGCTGTGATTGACACAGTCAAAAGCTTTGGATAAGTCTCAAACCACTGCTGCAGTAGCTTCCCGCTGTTCATTTCATTATACACCAATTGCAATAGTGTTGATATAGCTTCACTTGAACTCTTAAAATTCTGAAAGCCATACTAATGTGCACTCAATATCCCATTACTGGTCAAATATTCCATTATTCTTTTTTTTACCAGTTTTTCAATTATTTTTGCTAAGGTTGGGATGAGGGATATAGGTCTAAAGTTTGCTGGATCCTCATTGTTGCCGCCTTTATGGAGAGGAATGACAACCGAAGTTTTGAGAATTGCGTTGGGACATCTTCATATTTTTTCTCATATTCTACATGGCATTGTTGACATTATAAAACTCTTTGAACAAGAAAGTGATTGACCGTCACCAGAAGTGCATTATGAAAGTACTTCAACCGTAACTAACTTTGTCTCACCCTTCTACTGATTTTTCATGAAGATCTAAACATGATTCTCAGATGAAATTATTAGGTAATTAAAAAACTAATTTTCAGGCCTTTAGATGATGATGCACCAGTTCAAGGTCCCCTACCATATGAACCAGATGATGCGCCCTGGAAAAAATCTGAATCTGGGATTAGGAAGTTGTAAGTGAAATATATTTCTTGCACGAACTTGATACCTGATAATTTATTTTTTATCTGTTTCAGTTTTCGTAAAATCTTTTCTGAGAGTAGTGGTGGAGGTGGTTTTCCTAAGCGTAGCCTCTCCACCCTCTCTAAAATGGCTCTCTCGTCGACTAGCGAACCAGTTCCTGTCTAACACAGGTTTCTCTAATACCCTAACCAATGCCTACTCCAGTTTAGGAACTGATATTTACGGTTATGTGCATCATTCTATGTGATAGAAGGTTAACTTAGCGATCAATGTTTAATTATTGTCGGTTCTTTTATCATCAGGGTGTTGAGTAAATGTACAAAATTGGTAATACACCCTAGTATGTAGACCAGAAGTGAAATCTAGGGGTTTTGTGTGATGGTGAATACGGATATGAAGTAACATATTTCTACCAAATCAGTATTGACGAGGAAATATTATTTGTGCGAAGACAAAGTTCTCTTAAAGTTTATATTTGCCTAGGGTTCCACATGGCTTGCTCCATTATGATATTCACTATTATCTGGGTTGAAAAGAAATGTGTAAAATGTTGATAACTACTTTGAGGTTTTCGAGAAGTCAGTATTATTTAATGCTAACCTATGATTCATTTTTTCCTTCATAACCACCTTTTTTTTTTTAATTATATTTGACTCCGTTTATATTTTTTATATTTGTTTCATAGCCGATTGAAAAATATTGCACAACTAATGAAAATTTGAAACTTTCAGAGCTTCTACATATTATTTGAAATGAGACCTAACAACATATTTTTGAATGAATTCTGATTCAACTATTTTGAATAAGTTACACTCTCTTATTTTGGTATACTTTTACATAAGAATCCTTTATATACACTATATTTTGTTGTAAAAATTTTCATTTTTCATGTTAAATACAAATATTTCTACCCTCATTGTTAAGTTTTTTTCTTATACAATTTGCAAAATGCAACCAATTACGTTATTAAAAATGAGATACTTGATTACCTTCACTTTTATTTCATGACCTATTGAAAAGAAAAATGGTCGAGTTTTCTTTTGTAACTGGATGAATCCTGATTACAATATCAACTTTGTAAGGAAATCATTGAATCCATTCCAATATAATTTTCTAAATAATATTGATTTCAAGTTTATTCACGCAAAGTATTCCATAAGTTGATGACAAACTTATCAAAACTGTGCATTCTAATTATTTCAAGTTTAAGAAGTAGGTGTTCAGTTATCTGTTAATCAGTTTGTGTTATTTTTATAAGCTTTGAAATAATTGGAGAGGAGTCACTTTCTTCAACAATAAGTACCGACCAAA